TTATTTTACTTTCTATTAGTAATACACCTAGGTACAGTGATGCCGCCAAATCGCTAGCTGTTATCAATTGAAAGGAACTTCTCTAAATTCTCAATGAAATGGTTTTCCCGCCACAGTCCACAATACAAACGTAACATACTGCTTCTGCTTAAAGATCGATTATAATTCAGTCCGCCATGAGGTAACACAATGTATATTATGCAAGCTGCCAAGTGAATTCTGACCATGTTCATTCTCACGATCATTTCGGCTTAGTTTAAAACAACGAAGAATCGAGGCCGTTAGTGTGTTAATCCCTTTAAATCAACCTAAAAGTTGAGCAAACATACTAATCTGTGACACACATTTGCCTAGACTCAGAGGAAACAATGGTGTGCCAAAAGAAATATAAGTCATAGAACTAAACTACACACCTTTAGTACATACTAAAGCAATAATGATAAGTCAATTTAGCCAGTAAAACTATCGTAACTAAAGTCAATAGGTTTTGTGGTAAATTGTGATTATTTACAGTGATATCATCATAATAATTTTTTACTTCCTTGTAGGGAAATTATAATAAACTAATAATTTCTAATATAATTCAACACTTCTAACATGCACGAACGGAGAGAATTGAAGTCTTATTTTAAAGTGATTCTCTGTTTTGCTTATATACATCTGTATGACAATAAAAAATAAAAACTTTTATAATTAATATATTACATACAATCAAAACTAGAAATAATAGAGTTAGCCAATGAAGTCAATGCAAGTTAATGGCGACACGACATCTATTGTGGCAAATATCAATCGAACCAACCGGTCGCCATATCTCACGGCCGCCCGCCATCTTGCATTGACAGCTGACTCGTAATGGCGGGAATGTTAAGTAAGTAATTGTCAATGGTTGAGTAATAAATTCGATACGGCATGTGACGCTAGCCTTACTTGAATGATTCTTTAGAATTACATTGCGGTTTATGTTGTGAAAATTGGTAATTGATTATTTCTCTTATAAATAATTATATAATCTGACTGTTTTCTGAAAACTTGGGTCTTAATATATAAATTGGATATCGCTTCAGTTTGCTATGCAACACTGAATTTATTTATTTATTCACTGTTTTATGCGATTAGTATCTTTTTCATTCTGTATCAGGAATCAAGAAAACAACCTACATTAATTTTATACTCTACACTATGTCCAATTTGGTACGTAACACATTTAAGTTTGCCGTAGTAAGGATATATTCAAAAATTGCCTAATATTTGGTCTGCACTCGTAATCACTTACCTCTTATTAGTTATCACCTTAGTTATCATCAGCTCGTGTGCCCCCTATACCATAAAAAACCTTTAATATCCGTCGCAGTTCGAAGTATTAGATAGATATTTTCTTTACTAATTTTCATACTACTTTCTACAAGATATGGCAATTACTTAAATAAAGGTAATCAAGAGCCGGAGTAACGAAACAATTAACAAGTAATTGTTTTAATAATAATTCAGAAGGTCGGCTAACCTTGACATCAACTTCACGCTTATTTATAGAGGCCCAAGCAGAACAAACAGCGCTTAATCAAAATACAATCAATACTGTTATACGGAAAAACGATTTATTGATAAAAGCATCGAAACTAATTCGATTACACTCGAAATGAATACTGGTAGATATATTTTACATTTTGGGACGATTTTCTGATACTTAAAGCGAAGTATTTAACAGTTATAATTTAATTTTTATCTTGACCTTTTTGTTTAGTTTTCCCGCAAAAAGACTATTAAAATAAATAATAAATAATTATAACGTCGTAAATTATTATTGCAAATGACAAAAAGGCAAGAACAGCAGTTCAAAAAGTTCGCATTATGTTTCTGATTGTTGTTGTTTAATCCAACGGGTTAGCCTAACTAAAAAACAATGGGATTTTCGCCTAAATTGTTTTACCGAATGAGTGAGTACACATTTAATCAATGTCAAGTCAATTGTAACAATTGTTACTTTTAATTAAAAACGTTTAGTTCTTTGCGAAGTGTGTGTCACAAAAGGAATGTGTTCCAATTTTCACCGACACTGTCTATTTATTTAAACCTTAATCAGCAAACAAGCACAGGGCACTCCTGATCTTAGGGCCACTGCAACTTGCAAACCTATTATCTCTCAAATACGAACTCTAATAACACGTTTTGCAAACGAATTATGCGATGATAAAAAAGTCAACATCAAGGATCTAGCCAGGTCCATTTTTTTTAAGCAGTTACATTAAAAATAAATATTTAAAAACATAACAGGAAATAAAGACGTTTGGGAAAAGATTACCGCTACTTAAGTACTGTGGTTTTAGAATATCGGAAGCCATCATTGTGTACTCTCGAACTTACCGCCCCATAGCCTGAAAAGAGGCAGGCTTTCTTGAGAATTATATTAAAAATAATAGAGAGTTCAACGAAGCAGTTAAAATATCTGTAAACCAAAATAGCTCTTTAAATTTAAAGCTATTGTGCATGTTCAAAACCATTGAATTTTAATGTTAAGTAACACATGCGTTGAGAAATGTCTAGAATATTGTTTCACTATACAGATGTGTAGCGATTATGTAAAAAATCGGAGCAGATTTTTGATATCAGTAAAGGAAAATATTACTCCCGCACTAGGAATATAATATCCTGTGCCGCGTGGGACTTTACACACATTTATGAAAAGGACACAAAGAACACCCAGACTCAGACAAATGATTTGTGGATCACACAAAGTGTTGTCCCGTGTGGGTATCGAACCCACAACAGCTGAGTGTTGTGCGGTGAGGTGACCGATTAAACCACTACGCCATCCGTGCAGTCATACGGTTTGTCCGCTTCATTCAAACAGTTAAAATGCTGGCAACATCGATTGTGTGTCAATATTATCTTTCTATGCTAAATTGTTACGACTTGTCTAACATATTGAGATTTATGTCATCATCGCCGTCCTACTAATGTCGAACAATATTGAATGACGATATTTCAAAGATGTGACAGATTCAGCTGTCAAAATTGAAAGGTGGACTAATTATATTGACATTTAAACGACTCGAATCCAAAATTAAAGTTAGTCTATGGTTAGAATGTATTATTTAGGTCCTCTTAAAGTTTTGTCTTATTTATTATATTTGTTGGCACATATAAAAACATACTATTACCGGTACCATTGGCATAAACGCCTTAAAAATTAATATTGTGTAACGCAATATCTTTAAATGATTAGTTTTTTATCCGTCCGTTAAAAAAACCATTAGTCCTGAAATTAACATGCACCAATTTGCAATATTTATAAGAGGAAATTGGACGTTTCCGAGTTCAAGAAGGAAATGTAAATATATTTTAAGTGTTTTAACAGTTCGTTTCTAGCACTTTGTAACTTGTAAAACTACGTCCTGATCTGCTTTCAACATTATTTAGGACTTTATTCCTTTATTATAAAGTAACAAGTTGAAGGGAGAACTCAAAATATCTATTAGAATGTGAGATAGGAAATGAGAAAGTACATCGTGTTTATAGAAGAAGCAGTTAACTAACTTTACCATATTATAGTGTAGTGGAATAGATGGCAGCAGGTAATAACATCATGCCTCCTATGTGTGTGTATACATTTAAGTAAGATGAATAAGGACCATAAATATTTGTTAGTACAGGTAATCCATTGAGAACTTGCCCGTAAGAGATCATAGATTATCTTTTTTTTTAACATGTGGAAACCACCTCGGCCGTCACCCTACCGAGGATCGCGCCGGGGTGGTGTCTCGAGACAGTTTTTGTTAAAAAAATAATGTTATTTTAAAGTTTCTAGACAATCAGGAGACAAGACTGTTAAGACTTAAAACTAAGTAGTCAATATATAAATAGCCTATCTGCTATCTAATACGGATGGAGGAGGACAGCACAAGACCGGGATAGTTGGCGCTCCTTAGCGGAGGCCTTCGTTTAGCAGTGGACGGCGATAGACTGATGATAAACTACACTGACAACTACAACGCCCTCTATTAGAATTTTTGATTACTGATTTTCCACTTTAACAGGACAAATTCTGTACGACAACGACGAATGTATTACAAAGTTATTAACATATGATTAACTTTCAAAACATGTACAGACAAGGTTTTTATTCTCAAGGTGTTCTTAACATGCTTAATACTGATAATCAACTTTAAAGATCTTGTTAATTAAAAAAAACAAACTGATATGTAATAATTGATTTATCATTGAATCGAACATCGTAACTTGGATTTTGTTTTCGAATTCGATATGATGTCACCTCCGTATGTAAAAATAAACGCGAATTCTAAATATACGCAAATACAGTGATTAGAACTAATAAGGTAAGCTGTAGGTACTATTGTTGGCACCCGGTTAGTCATTGGCACTTTTAACTTACAAACAAAAATATTATGGATTGATGTTTTTGAAGCGTACACAAACCAACTTAACATTTTTATACATAAATACAGATAGTAAGTTAAGTAAAACTAAACTAATGTTAATCTTTATACTATTTTTTTTTTATTGAACATGTTAACTCATGATTATTATTATTATGAAAAAAAAAAAAATAAAAGTTGTGCATGTTGTATATGGTACCCCAAATAACTTCTAAAAGGTATAACTTACTTCGATGCACTTGGAATAGGAGAGATCCAGGAACAGCTGTTATTAAGACATCTGGACCCCTCTTAGTTTACTTCAATGCACCTAAATCATGATGAATTGTAAGAAACTGTATTCCTCACTCCTTAATTTTCGTCTCTTACAAGTATTTTTCTTAAAATTTTAATAAGACCAAACGGGACTTAAGTATTTAAAAATATACATTCGAATTGAGAACCTAGAGGAGGTTCCTTTCCTTGGATCCGTTAAAAAGTTTACAACATGCCACCTTACAATACAACGTTAAGCCAACAACAGTATACATGAAGTTTGATTTTTTTCGAGTTTCGGTAGAGGTTACTTTGAGAATGATTAGATTACATATTTTATTACTTTACCCTCTGCCATTATTGTCATTTTCGTTAATCTCGTTTCATCGTTTACCTGTAACAAAATAAGAAATCATTAGTAATGTGCTTTAATGCATTACTCTAGTTAAATTTAAATATTCTAAGCTCATTCTAAAATCCTATACTACTAGTACACTGCACACCTGTGCTAAAATGATGTCACCTGCGAATTTATGTTTTTTAGACTAACTACTTAGTCTAAAAAACAGAAATTCGTAACAACAGCAATATATCTGTGTTAGCTTAGGAATATAAAAAAAATACATGTACATTTAAGCAGTAGCATACACATATATACCTACATATTATCGTACTGCGCATTTTGTTTAAACAACATCACCATGGCATAAGACATGGTGCCCGAAGCAGGTGACGTCATTTTAATGTCACAAGCTTTTATAGCCACGGTGATGCTTTGTTTATTGTTCCATAAAACAGGCGGTAATATATTTTATTACCAGGGACGAAGACTTAATTTTGAAGGTACCTACATTGTTTACCGGTCGCAATGTTTGTTTTTGAACCCATCTACATGACAATTGAGTGATTGTGCATGACAGTGGTTACCTGAGGAGTGGTAGGGTTATGAACTCTATTCAATAGTCGCTGGATACGTGACCAATGGTATTGTCACTTGTCCAGTATTCATTTATCGAGTCGAACGGTTGTATTGTATATAGGTCACATAAAAACCCTCCTCTTCACGTCCTAACTAAACATGAACGATGAAAGATCGTAAGACTAAAATATCTGGGGAACCATTGTGTAGTAAACTTAATATTTTCAAAAGGATGTTTGTCGCAATACTTTGTTCGGAAACATGGGCATCAAATACAATGTCCAAAAAAATTAGAGGAATTTCGACTATCTAGCAACCCTAACTATTACATTTTTTTACATTTAAATGAAATATCTAATCATGTGTTTGTAACAATTCCTACGTATTCTATTCGTATAATCAATATTTATGAATCTGTAATATATATATATAAATGTAATGATAAAAATAAAGGCGAAGCGACAGTTTTGAAGTACATTTTCTTAAAGCATTTTCATACATTAAAATAATTAGATTTTTTCAACATTTTGAAATAGTTTATAATAGAAAGCAAAAAGGTAATCTACTTTGGCAGAAAAAAAAGCTGTATGATATAAAAGGACAACCTATGTTCATAAAAATTAATTTATCGATAAGGTGCCTAATTGCCCAAATATTTCTTATTAAGAGTTTTTATAGAATAAAACGATATCATAAATTATCCGCATCAAAACAACCACAACTTAATCTTTACGACTCAATCTATTCAAGGTTGAGAATTTAATCACACGTAGTTAACTAAGTACGTAACCGATTGCGAAGTGATGGTACCTAGGTACCAGTAAACGACCTTGTGGTACGCCGCAATGATCGCGCATTCAACTCGAGGTGGTTGGAATTCTTCCAATACACAATGCTTTTACGACAGGTATATAAATATGTCAGTGCATCTGTACTGTAATGTATGTCTTTATATTCATTGTTGTTCAAGTCAAGTTTGGACAGTATTGTACACCTGCCAAAAGGCAAGTTAAGGTTTTTTGTAGGTTTAAGCGTCAAGATACTGCACTGGCCCGAGAATAAAAATAATTGCGTTTCTTAAAGGTTAAAAGCAGCGCAATGCAATAAAATGAGATTATAATTACGATACATTAATTAACACTTAAACTGATTACAGTTATCAAGGTAACGTAATAGCGTCTGAGGACCTAACATTTAGATTATGTTCTCTCAATCTACTCCAAACTTATTTACAGATTTGTGACCAATTAGTACCTATATAAAAATGAGTTACCTTTGTACCACAGAGAACAGTTAATGAAACCGGAAAAAAATGATTGTTATCTAGATAATCTAGCATCAGAAAACTTACCACAACTAAAAATATCGGGAATTTCATGTTGCACTCGTGTTCCCGATAAAAGTCATGAGACAGAACACAATGCCATTATCGGTTAATATCTAATAGACACTAGATACGTTGCAGTCAAGATCAGCAAAGTGACGTCTTAATGGAGTTTGCTACATATTTATTATATGGTGGTACGTAGATGGTACTCAATCCTTTTAGCAACATCATAGCAGTTATACGTTTTAGGGAAGCGTCGTAACCAACTTCTTTGTCTATTAGACAAAATTACTGGAAAAGCAATTAAGTATACCAATATCATGGAAATATTTAATCTTAAGCTCCAATACTCTTAAGGAAGTCTACAACACGCCCGTTTTTTATTGAGGGTTTGTATTTATGTGCAAGGATCTCGATAAACAATATGAAATCATATTTATCAATTAGCTGTGAACCTGTAATTGATAGGATCGAATGCTTTGTATAGAACTTTTTGTTTGCGTCTGCAGTTTCCTTGCGTGTTAATGTAAACAGACCGTGAAAGGTTTCAGGTTAGTTAGCATAGCAAATAGATATATTTCCTATTTTATTGTTAAATACACTTAAGATTGGACCTTGTAGATGCTTTTAATGTTTATAATCTAATCGTTTTTACTTGCACATTATACATGTGCGCATCAGGAAAACATTACTTTTGTTTTAAAATTCTAAAGGTCAGGGGTCAGATTAGCTTAGGTTTTTTTTTAATTCTAAACTAATTTAAAAAAATTTAATCACCAATAAAATATACAAAATCAGATTTTTTTGTACGGTAATATGTGAATATACGGATATAAATGTAAATGTAGGTAATACATTTTGTATAAATGATCGGTATTGTTTCAAAAATTCAATTTCTATGTAAATAGGTAGCTGAATATCTTGACACTCGTGGAACAACTTTATAATCATAATATTTCATTATCCGTCCATTGAAATCGTAGGTAGCTATTTTTCCTTGAAAAGGCCTTGTCCTTGAAGCCAGTTGTTTCTTTGCAAAACATTGATTTATGCATTGAGTATGAAAATTTGCATGTTGTTGTTGAAGTAAGACGGACTAAAGAAACCAACAATACTGACGCAACAAACGACTTTGTCATGAATATGTAGAAAAACATGTTTTTATATGTATTTTTTCTGTTGTTTGTTTTGATAAACAAATAAATATAAGAATTTAACTTTCTATTTATTTATTACTAGCTGGTACCTTCTGGAAGGATCTTGGTTGGCGCACCTAGCCATCCCTTTTCTATACGCATAAAGGACCATCCTCGAGTCTAAATGCGGAAATCGGAGCCCACAACCAATACCCAATACCTCTCAGAAAACCCCTTCAACATTTTACCCGGTCCGGGAATCAAACCCACTAAGGCAGCACTTTTCAAATTCCACGCGAACGAAGTCGTGGGTACCAGCTAGTAAAAAATATAAGTAATCAAACTGAGTCTCCTTTAAAAATAATGGGTACAATATAAACACACTTTCTCGCTGACGTAATCTTTTCAGAGCTAACGGTAAAATGGTATGTTACCTATGTCGGTGCTTTCTGAATATTTCTCGGATTCCAGTATTACAATAATGGTAGTCGCGTCATAGATATTAAAGAGATATGTGGGAAGAGGGTTATTAACGTCAGTTTGCAACCAAGCTCCCTGACAATAGATTTGCGAGAGACAGAAACCAGAACAGATAACAGAAATATGAGAGACAAATAATCTACTTCAGTGAAGACCATCCAATGATGATCACGATCCTCAATGTATGCGTTGACTTTTTTTTCGATGGGTTGGAAAATCTCTTCAGATCTCCCGCTTCTCGGGGAGTCAGAAGCCAGGAGTATGTGGTGATTCCACTAAAAACCATCCCGACGACCGGCCTCAGGTGTCCTACTCTGGCAGAACCCGGACCATGTTATTTCAGGTCCTCCCCGAATTGACACCATGCCTAATCAGGCCCTATCCCAGGGGAAAACACTTTCCGCGGCGTGGCGGCCGATTGCATCTTAATGCAATCAGGCTGCCATTCTATCTCAATTTATGAGTTGCCTACAGAAAGATTTTTATCTTCTATCATAGACAAAATGCCAAAATGAAGTATTAAGTATATAATACTAAAAGTTTCTAATTTCCTTTTCGAAATAAACATTGTATGAGTGTCATTATAAAATTGATATAAAACATCTAATTATCTCGTTACGTTTCACAACAAGACAAGAATGTGGGCCCTTTCTAGTTAACTTAATTATACCACATTGCATAATTGTTCTAATCATCTAGTCATAAACATGTTTATTCGAAACAAAATTAAGCTTTAAAATAATAAAATCTTCAATGCGGCTAATACAGAATCGTAAAAGTATTTCGTGAAAACAAGTTCTTAATTGTTGTTATGAATAAATCAAGTTCGAAAAAATTATAAGGAGTTGAGCTAACGTGAGAAGAACTTAAAAAGTACTTCACTTTTCTTTAATATAATCTTCTGTACGAGACTTTATCAAAATAGGTTGGGGTCGGCTTTCAGTCCACTACGAAACGACTGAGCTTCGATTTTTTACGTGGAGCGACGGCTATCAGACCTCCACACCCCAAGTATTTGGCGATATCGAAGTTTTGTAGACAAACTGTTGTCGGTTTTTAGGGCTCCAGCTACCCGTCACGATTAGAACTGTTCTTTAACAATTTTAACTAATTTCTTCATTCTATCGTTCACGTCATAAATAAATTGATGAAATTAGTTCACAATTGACTAAGACATCACTATGTCTTGTAACACATATACAGCAGTTTAATTTAGAAATATGTATCAAATCAAAGACGATTCTCTTTCAATAAAGTGCACCTCTACTTACCTCATATTTCAACCGGACGTGCACTCCTTTTCTGTTTTATTTTTAAATAACTATGCATTTACTTTTTACCATGTTGCCAGCATACAATAATTATTTTAAGTTATCATTAGATGAAGCATAGGAAAGTTTTTAATTAAAAAATAAATTTTACCTTTAAGAAATGACTACCAAAACTATTATTAACATTATACGAATGACGACGAACGATGAATCAGTCGGTCAGAGTATCACTTTTGCGATCACTGCTATGAATTGTGACGACCATAAATTGCTTGACAACCATATTAAAGTCCATATATCAATCCGTATAATGTTAATAATAGTTTGAGATGAGAAATTTGAAATGACGAATGACTTAGACCAATTGGAAGAGGTGAAATGAGAGCTTTTAAAGAGCTTTTAAAAAATGTAATATTATTGTATATAGTTGTATTAAGTTAGTTATATTAAGTTGTATGCTGTTCTCTTACAGAATAAAGTTTATTTTATTATTATTTATTAAATGTCGAATAGGACAAGCTAAGACTGCTTTCTTCAAAATTTCCAAGGTTTTATGCGACCCAAAAATCCCATTTCCTTTGAGGCACCGCGTCATGAAATGCTACG